TTACGTATGCAAGTTATACAGAAAAGTCCAAAAATGCTTCACTTGTAATGTCCAAGTCTCGCAAGTCTTCGTCATTGTAGGCAAAGCCACTGCCAAGCCCTCCCAAAGCATAGGCTGCTCGGACCAGCACGGGGTATCCAATCTCCTGTGCTGCCTTGATGGCCTCTGCCATAGAGCCACAGCAGGAGCTCTCAGCGATCTTTTCACCACAGGCCTGAACAGAATAATGCTAAAACATGACCAACACAGGTACAGTCTAAGGGCAGGGCTGTGAGAGTCCAAACGTGAGAGTGTGAGCTCTGGGGAAGCAATGGGAACCATGCTTGGGCTTAGGTTGACTACGTCTGCGAAGCACTAGTCACCTAGTGTATCCTGATATCCGATATCCTGTACATCTCTTGAGATCACATGCGCTTCGGGGATTGCCAATTGATGATTGATCAAGTAAAATGTATTTTAAATATATTGTAGGTTTCTTTAAATCCTGCAAAATGTTTATAGATAATAGCTCCTAGCTCGGGCACCTCGACAACCTTGCTGAAGAGGTCTCGGTCTTCTGTCTTCATGATAGCATCGATTTGAGTTCCTCGCAAAGGAACCGTGACTGCTCAAACCCGATCAATCCTCTCGCTGTAAGATTCTGATGCACAAAGCCTGTGCGGATGTATGTGAGAGCACGTATACCCTTCCAGTGCCTTCCAGGATCTATGGCACTCCCATCCCTTACCCACTAACTGTCAGGTGCAAATCACAGTTGCATCATATATATTTGCGCTTGTCGTGACTCTACACCTTGCAGCGCTTGCAATAACGGGACAAATCTGCCCATTCCGACTGTCAGCCAAGCTTCCAAGAACTTGGACGTTGTACTTTTCCAAGGCTCCAGATTGATGCAGCTTCACTGCGCAATTCAATGCCTACCAAAAGTCAAAGAAGACTCAGACTTGCACCGCAACATGTACAGTTTGTGAGGCTTTCCCGTCACCCTACAAAGAGGCTTATGAGAGACTTCTGTTATTTTGATTGGCAAGTTTTTGCGCACCTAACGAAACATTTACATTGTGCAAATTGTGGATTTAAAGGCGGTGTCCATTCTGTACTTCCAAAAAGTGAAGCCCAAACCTATTATCCCGAAATTGAATTCAATAAATCCATCTGACTATATAGGCTCTAAAGATATAGTTTTTGATGTTTTTTGTTGATGATCTCAGATATAGATATATATATATAATATATCAATATCGATCTAAGTATGATACCCGTCCGCGGCGGCCCCCAGCCCCACCACCAGAACACCCTCCGGAACCCTAGCCGGCCGTCTGGCCGCCGAAGGCTGCAAAAAGGCCATCGGGGCGCTCGCGCTCAATGACCTTCACCACGAACTCCGGTGTCACCGGGAGGAAGTAGACGCGGTCCGCCATCCCGGCCGATGTCCTAAGAGGACAGGATGGGCGACCCGGTCTAGAAGTTATCTCTTATGAACTCAAGTGTGCGCTACGGACCATGGACCATTGTTGCTTCTTGGAGAAATCGTGGCTCTGAATTATATCTCTGAGCATCTGAACGGTAGCAATGTTCGGATTGATGAGGATAGACATCACACCTGCTTCCTTCAAAGCCTTGATCGCTTGGCTGCCAGAATAGTCAAACTCACCCGCCTGACCAATGGTGAGCCCCCCCGAACCCAGTACGAGGACCTTGCGATGAATCGTTGGCAGCGAATAGGGCATGGTGGTCACCACAGAGGTGGAAGGCTCGGCAATGAACTGCAAGAAGTGGTCGAAGAGGAAATCGGTATCTGTGGGCCCTCCACACGCCTCTGGATGAAACTGCACCGAGAACCAAGGTCTTGAAGAATGAATGATACCCTCATTGGTGCCATCATTGGCATTCACCATGAGGGGTACCCAATTCTTAGGCAGAGTGGTTTGATCCACTGCAAAGCCGTGGTTCTGTGCAGTGATATAACATCGCTGAGTTCGCAGATCCACCACCGGCTGGTTCATACCACGATTACCAAACCTCATCTTGTAAGTGGAGGCCCCAGCTGCCAAAGCCAGGATCTGATTGCCCAAGCAAATGCCAAAGATCGGCGTACTGGGACGGTGTTTCATCACATAGCGCACATGCTCCACCGTCTTCTCGCACATGGTGGGGTCTCCTGGACCGTTGCTCAGAAACAAGCCATCGAAGTTCTCCTGGGTGAAATCATAGTCCCAGGGCACCACTGTGACACGGAGCCCGAGCCTGTTGACGAGGTACCTGGAGACACTGGCAAAACGCAAAAGTTGCGATTACAAAACACATGACAACAATTCAAAATGCCAAACCAGCAAAAAACGTAGGAACAATGGCTCTTGCCGCCGGCTGGGCCCTAATTTACTAAAGGCACCCCACAACCACCACTCTGACAGTGGCCCGGCCTGATGATGTTGTTCTTCATCCCACAGTCTACAGCCAGCACATGGACTTGTCTCCCATGGCGCTGTGCAGGCGCAAAGACCTCCGTCTCCTTCCTCGAGACTTCTGCCACCAAGTTCCTCTGATTCGGATCATCCATGGCCAATGCAGCTGAGGGCGTGCTTCCCTCGACCACCAGCTTTCCCAACATCGAACCATGCTGACGGATCACCTTCGTGATGGCACGTGTGTCCACCCCATAGATGCCGGGGATACCTTGCGATGACAGCCAGTCTCCAAGAGAGCGGACGCAGCTGTAGTGGGATGGCTCATGGGAGTAATCCAGAATCACCACGCCCTTCAAATGGATCCTGGATGGCTCAAAGTCGGACCCACGCACCGCAGTCCGTGGCATGCGGAATTGATACGGACGGCTTGCGGCAGACGTCATGATCTGCCATGAAGATAGAGACACACACAAAGATTTGACACTCATCATGGAAGTGGATGGCAGCTGCCCCCTGCCATCCACTTCCATAATCGTTTCAAGAGGTGTGGCATTTGTGGCACAGTTATATACATAATGCTACATCAGATCTCTCTCTTGTACATGTTTGTTTGCACCTGTTACTTCTCACCATTTGGGCAGGTCTTTGTCTTCTGCTCTCCGGCTGTTAAGACCAGGACTCTTCAACAAAAGGGGTCCAAAAGGGTTTCTGACTTTGAGTCGAAAGGCTTGTGGCTTTCGAACCATCTGGGCAGTCCAAGTTCATCTTTCTGCTCCATCTCGGGAATGCCGTAGTTCCCCACGAGCGGGTAGGTAAAGACCAGGATCTGTCCTGCATATGAGGGGTCTGTGATTGATTCCGGATAAGACCACCTCCCCAGACACCGACTGGGTCGCACCAAAGGCGAAGCCCTGCAAAATCATGCCATCCGCCAGCTCCAAGTTGCACTTCTGCCGAGTGAGCCATCCCAGCTCATCGCAAGTGTCGGCCTCGGCATCAAAGCCTAGGAAGACGTTCTCCACCATCCTCGAGAAGAAGTTTTGAGTGTTGCTTCTCTCAACCCTTGATCCTGTGCAAAAATGGCTCGCAGAGGTGGTGTTTGCATGGGCTGGTCACGAAACGAAACATGCCTTGACAAGTTGTCCTGGCCAAAGGCTTCACATGCTAATCCCTTACGCTACTAGTAACAAGAAGCTACTAGGGGCTCCTGGCATCGCTACTAGGAACAAAGGATGCTACTAGGAGCTTTTTCGCCCTGCGCGCGCGCGGGGGAGGTAGAGGACGCTACTAGTCCCACGGAGGTTCTCTCTGGTGGCCTGTGGGCGCGGTGTCAATGATGATCCGGTCGAAGTTCTCCTGATGGTAAAGATCAGTGCTGCATCGCCCTCTCCCTTTCCAGGACACACAGTTGAACTAGACTCTCTCCTTTCGTGTTGTGGTGATCACTGGCATTACTGCTTCAAGTTGACTACTACCCCACAGGCACCAGCAACGCTGCATGCCATAATCAGCAATCTCTGGATGCAACCAAAGGCATTGGATGCTCAGCATTCGTGAGTCCTTGACCTTTTCCAAGACCTCTGTGAGCGCCACAATCTCATCACTGCCGGGGGGTAGCGTATCAAAAAGATCAATGAAGTCCTGCAAAGGGGACCATCGTTAGATGCCCTCCACGATCAACATCAGAAAACAAGCTTGCGCGACGTGTTCACGCAGGGTTCTAAGTGTCACCGTTCAGTAAGGGACGGAGTGGTCATCTAAGTGTCAGTTCCGCGTGGTCACCTAATAACTAAGTGTTCCATGTAGCACGTAGGCCTCCCTCCGCGTCTTCTTCGAAAAGGAACTCACTCAAAACAGGCGCTGTAGGGAAAGAGAGTACAGTTCCTGCAGCAAAGCCAGTCCTCCATGGGCAGCTGTTTCAGCACTTGACCGACCAATCCTCCATCGCCTTCTCTCCGTCTTAAGGCATCTCGCACCTTGGGAGCCGTCCGTGTCCTAAGACCAGCGGTGTCCAAATTGGGAGGTCAGATCGTAGACTGTGGCGGATTATCAGACATTTGTTCAACCCCTTACAGTACCCGCCACAAACAGAACCTACAAGTACCTCCTCAACAAGTGACCATCCGGAAGGACCCAACTGCATGTTTCATCCTGTATCAAGCTCCACCCAACTCCTGCAGGACCCCCAGACCCCAGACCCCGCGGACTGGATCGCGGTGATGCCGCAGCGGTGTCCACCTGGGCCTCCCGGGCCGTCTGCTGAAATCGCTCCATGGCCGCAGCGGTGTCCACCTCCATGGCGTAGAGCTCCCCGGCGCCCGAGAAGCTCTCCACCGGCTCCGCCTTGGCCTCAGCGGTGGTTTTCTCGACATGACCTGATCCGGAGTCGTTCGAAGATCCACTCCACTCTCCTCTTCAGTAGTTGGAGTTCGGGGTCGGTACAGAGCATTGTCACGAAAGCAGGAGACGAAAGTAGGGTCGGTGCATGCTGGGTCGTGACTGGGCGAGGATTCGCCGGTGAGAATGATTCGTTAACCTGCCAACCTCAATGCGCTCTTGACACCCATTTTCGCCGGGCACACTGCCAAATCCTTAGGACTGGAGCTGCCACTGTTGTGTGGAGATGTGGTGGTCTTCTGCTTTCTCCACATCTCCAGTGTCCTGTGGCCAGACCTTCGAACTGCCACAATAGAATTTAATCATTACCGCGGCTGCAATCACACCAGCCACTAGCAAGACTACCATGCAAATTATGAGCACAATCTGCCCAGAATCTGCTCCCTCAATGCCAGGCGTGCTATCGCCGCACGTCGTCCCCTGTGCTGGCAACCAGCGTATTAAAGCACTGCTCCTCCCACTTCGATCTTCAGGCGCAAGGCCCAGGAACACCGACCGTGCACTGCTCAGCGCACTTTCCTCCACTTGAACCAGGACAGTCATAAGCCCTGAGGCCTGATTCTCCACCGTGCTGAAGGACACACCGCTCGCGCCGCCGGGTGTAGAAAGAGGCTCCTTTTCCAGGACGCTGTGGAGGTGACCCCATGACAAGGCACTCTTTAAGGTGAGGAACGAGCTCCCTGATTGCCTCATCTCTTTGAAGGTTTGACATGAGGCTGGGGCTGGAAGGAGCTGGAGTGAACGCAGGAACTGGAGTGAAATGGTGGCGACTACTCGTCCAACATTCTTCTGAACCCTGAGCTTGTGATGGGCGACAAGTCCAGTCTCTATGCTTAAAACTGGTTTGAATGTCTAAAGGTCTCAAGTTCGGAGTTGCCAAAATGGAACTCGTGCAGACTCCCAGTGGCTGAATGACTAACTCGTAGCTCCCGGGGCAGCTCACCGAACTCGTGAAGAAGGACCATTGTCGTGCTCGCAGTTCTGCACTCACACCGTCTCCAGAGAGTGCCGTGGCCTCCTGGTCACAGAAAGGTCCAAGATACCTCAAGGCCAGGGTCAAACTGTCTGCCGGCGCCTCAAGCTCCGGTCTGGGTGAACGAGAAGCCCTGAAATAGCCCGGCTGAGTTCAACCCTTCACCTCCAAACAATAGAATCAACTGATATCAACTGCATGTGTTTTTTCACGGAAGAGGTTGCGCATACTGTGCGGGCATGCATGCCGTACAACAAATTAAGTCTGTGGTTTGTCTGTCAACCCCCTGAAATAAGTTCGAAGAGCATTCACGAAGCTCAGGGGCAAGTAGTGGCAGACAGGTGGAAGCTGTGGGCTTGGGGCCGAACTGAGAAAGCCCGGCCAATGCTTCACCCTAAATATAACTGATGTTACGTTCCACTGATTGAAGTTGGTTGAAGAACAACTCCTCGCGGTCTACATTCGCGGCCAAGACACGGCGGAAAGCAGCGGCAAGTCCATTTTGACGACTGTTTTTCAGCCGTTCCATGCACACAGCTGGGTGCGCGCACCACTGCTGCGCACTCGGACAAAGCAAACGGTCCGGAAGCAACTAGTGAAAATGGCTGGGGCGTCCGCGCGGGCACTGAATTCGCAAGGACTGTGGCCATGCAAAGCCCAGAAGTAAAGCTGTCGTAGCCCACCAATGAGACCTGCAGGATCAGATGAATGATCCAAATCCAAACGGTTGACAACCCTTGGTAGAGATAGTAGGACGCTGTGGAGGTATGACTGAAGCCATTCTGCACCGGCTTCAGTCCGGTGCTTTTATGTCCGGCTTCGGTCCACCCAGGCCTTCTCTATGTTGTTGGTTGTGTCAGGGCTAGCTGCACCGTTGCCCCATCTGTCCGCCCAGCTCGACACATCGCAGGTGACCTTCAGATCCAAGTCGTGAACCAAACGACCGTCATCGGAGGGAGGATCTGTCCAGGCCAGGGTGATGGCCAAAGAGCCTGCGCCAACACCCGGTCTCCTTGGATGCGGGTGAGCATGGGTGAACTCATTCCCAAACCATCTGAAAGAAGGAAAGCATTGTTGGCAACATCTGGCAAAAGTTGTCTGCATGGTTGATTTGCAACTCAACTGTTGGCCTTCTATGCCGCTGCTTCTGTTTTGCAAGTGAGTGTTCTCAGTTGAAAAGCTCTGTGTTTCATCATTTCATCCCAACAAATTGGAAGACATGTTCGCTTGGAAGACAAATTGGAGGCTCATCTCCAAGCAAAAGCGTTGGGCTTGATCACTGCCCGCCCAAGATTGAATCACCACCAGGCCAGGCCCTGCTGGGATCGGAAGCAATGAGTGCAAGGTGGGAAGCCCAAATCCCACATCTGGCAAACGCACCTGATCGGTCCAGCCGTTTTCGACAAACAAATGATCGGCAGGACCTAGGGCGAGCATCGGCAGATGCTCCATAAGATGTTGAGGACCCCACATGTTGATTGTAATTGTGAGGATCCCTCACATAATACACTGCAATTACCAAAAAGTATAAAGCTTTCTGGAAAAACAAATTGCCCATGCAACAACAAATATTCCTTTGGCTCTTGCTCCAGAGGAAGCCGGATGACGGCTCAAAGCAGGCCAGCTAAAGGCTCGCCAATGATCAAATCCGAATCAACCCTTCTCACCCAGCCCACGTGCCGCCCCGACACCGATGAAGAGGAGGAGATCGATCTCGGGTCCAGTTCTGCGGCCGTCACCAGCATGGCCTTGATCGTGGAGGCCCACGTCTCACTGAGGCGCGCTTCAGACCGATCTCCCCAGTCTGTGAGATATTCGCCTCCGTCGACGCATCTGGTCACAGAGGACACCGGATTGCTTGCCTTTTGGACATGGAACCTGAAATGGCCACTTGGGCAGGGACACCTGTGGCACTTTGCAAGGAGGTTGTCCCTGCACAAGAAAACAAGAGTGCCCTTCAGCAAGCCGTTTGAGGTCTGATGTCCGCATCACCTGCGATGTTGAGTTATCCAAATCTACTTAGTGCAACGAGTCAATGAGTAGCAGCTTGGTGATTTTAGCAAACACCTATATACTCGCCGTAGCACGCACAGTGCAATTCCCACATCATCCATCCTCCCCCGAGTCTTTGCACTCCAATCTTTGCTCAGTCACGTACCAGTGCAGCAGCGCCCGCCGCCAGGCCACAGCTCTGGGAGGTGCCACTCATCGCGCGGAAGCCGCAGCTGGTGCCCACAGCAGTGGAGGTGATGCCTGGCGTGCTTTGAGGCTTGGGTGAGCGCGACATTTTAAAAAAAATTAAGACCATGGGGGATATCATATACAACTACATATGGGA